AATGGCTAAGACTGTATTCTAAGTTCTAAACAACTGCAATCTATTAACAAATTGTGATTTCTTAAAAGACAGGTGACCAGAAAGAAAGCAGGATACAGATACAAATTATTTCAAATTTTCATAAAGAACTAAATTGAAACATAGGCTACCTAGTAGATGAATCACTTTAAAAATGTTTGTACACACAGGTGTAAAACACATGCTTTTACAAAAGTGTGTGTATACACACACATAATCATGTGACACAATTACAGGTAGAATACTATGTTTGGTCAAACTAGAAATCTGAAAAAAACAGAACAAAATTTATCTTAATTGTGTTAATCATAAAAATGTTAGTCTCAGTAACTTGAATCCATGTGACAATGAAGAAGGGAAAGGACAGGAATTCAAACAGCTGACACAATGATCAGCAGCAACTGACAGCATCTCATATGATATTTGATATCAAGCACTAGATCAATATTTGTGAGATCAATGCAATTTTAATGGTTTTCTTTCAAAACTGTATGAAAGCCAAATTGTGACACTGTGCTAGGGTTATTTTTAGAGCTGGTTATTCCAGGGGATGATATTAAGTAATTTACTGAGGCAAAGCAAAAGCAAAAAAGGAATTAAAAAACACTCACAGGCAGGCAGAAGAGGTCAATGCGGGGGGGGGGGGGGTGAAGGGGACATATGTAATATTTTCAACAATAAAGATTTAAAAAACTCACAAAACACCCCCCTAAACCCACACCACCATAACAAACCATTAATATTTCTTCAGTTGATAAATCCTGATTATGTAAGTACCCAGGAAAGTTATAAACATTTATTAGGAAAACATTGATGATTAAAAACAAACAAAAAATAAACCTTTGGAAAATATATTTGGAGGTACATGAAGATGAACTGGATCAGAGATACTTTTTTCAGACACAATGGGATTAAGTGGCACTTGAGCCAAAAGAAATGAAAAATGATAAAAAGAGAATACCTAGGCCTTTCAGCTCTAGGGCCAATCCCTTCATGTGTGGAATTCAGTGGGAAATAACAGATTTCTCTGTGTCCCAGGCAGAGTATAAAACTGAGAGCCTTCCGTGAAACTCACAGCCAGGTTCCCATAAAGGTCAAATAAAGAAAAAAAAAGTAATTAGGTATACATGTTGCCTATTACTTCCCCTTTAAGAATTTATACCTTAAAAAATAGAATGCAAGTTCATCTAACTCAGAGGCACATAGGTCCTCAACCTATAAACCTTTAAACAGTCATCTAGGAGGATTTTACTAGTACTTTTTATCTTTGTCTTTATTTCTTAGTTAGACAGTAGCATTAATTCATTCGCTTACCAACTCATTTTGTTTGATAAAAATGCTAACCTTGTATGTATTTGTTTTTGCAGACTCAATTTTGAGGAATTTTCACCAAGAAGAATCCAAGATCTTCAGTACAAAGAGCAATTTCTGGGGAGGTAGATGATGGGGGTGACCCAAGAGGGAGTATAACTAGGTGAACATTTCAGTAAGGTGAGATGGGGTGACTCCCCAGTAGTATTCCTGATAAGCAGATTTTTAAACTTTTAGACTAAAAGAAAAAAAAGTCTTTTATTTGTAATTCAACTTTAATTAAAAACTTGGGGGAAATTGATTTTTTTCACTTGAAGTATTTTAGGAAACTTCTGATACCTGACCTAAAGACCGCTCATCCTTCAAGGTAGAGAATATTTCAAAACTATGCAATTCTTAAACTTTTCTGCTCCATGTTTCTTTTTCCTAACATTTTTCTTGATGACAGTAAAATGCCTGATAAACTGTTATGATACAAACAAATCACTTCAAATAAAAGGCATTTTTATTATATGCTTTTAAATGAAACTCATATCTAAGCCCTTGTGCAGTAGAATTAAATCATGCACCCAGTGTATTCCTAAATAGCCTAGGTAAAGTTGTATTTTCCAGGATTTTAATAACTTACAACAAACAATCACTCTCTGCATGTGTCTCTATGCTCCATTGTATTTCAAGTCTGGCAGATTGCCTACAAACTAAAGACACCAACAATTTAAATAAACTTTTCTTTAATGATATAAAGCCACTTTATACACAAACATACATTAGATACAAAGAGAATCTACAGATACAAATGAACTTGAGGCATTAAAAATGTTTATTTCAATGCCTTGCAGAATTTGAACATGAAAAATTTATTCAAAAGAAAATAAGTTTACAGTCCTGATGACCAACATACATTGAGTACCTACTATGTTACAGGTACTGAAAAGACATACTATATATATTATCTATTTCTGGTGAAATGGGCATATGCATTTCATGGCTGAATATGTATACGTATGTGGCATATATACATATTTTTCTATTAGGTCTTTAACATAACCCTGAGTTATTTCAAAGAAATAAACTTTATATTCAATTGTAGTTAATTCAGACTTCATTTTGGCTAAGCATAATTTGACCAATAATTTTTCCCCCTCATAGCATGAAGGACAGTACTTAGAATTTAAAAGTTTAGTGTTCCCAAAATGCTGCTCTTCTTAAGTCACTTTGAAGTAATGCTAGTGAGTCTAAGATCCAGATCTACATGTTAATCTCTAGTTTTGCCTTCAAACAGAATTCAGTTACAAAGAACTTGGAAAGATTTTGAATCTATTCAGGAGAGGAAAACTCTTTAATTTTCTGAGGAGTAAAAACTCCCCAAGAAACTTCATATAGCTTCTTAGATTTTGCTTAGCATACGTGATAAAACATTGATTGTTGCAGTTTGGTGACCCATGAAATTTGGGGGTTAGTTTTCTCTTCAGACCAGAGCATATAATTATGCAAATAAAGAGCTGTCACTGATCTAGTGAAATACTCACAAACACATGCACTCTGAAATTGGACAGAAAAGTGAAAATGGTTGGTGATGTGATGGTGCCATGATTTGTTTTCCTGCCAAGTTTCTATCCAAGTTCATTATTCAAATTGTAAACTTTAAAAGAGACATATCATTCTTAGGGTGTTGGTTGTCTTTTCATTTCAGATTCTTTGTATTGGTACTGCAGTCTGGCTGCAAAGTACAGTTCAACATTATTTTACCTATGACAGTCTCTCATATTACCAGATGTAATAGCCAAGAAAGAAAAAGCTGAATGATCTGGAAAGATGCAGGTCCTCCCTTGATTTTTTTCCTGGAAACATGTTTCATGTCTGTTTTAAATAGAACTCAACTCCAACAATACAAAAATATAGTGAAAAATTTTTTTTGACAAATCTCAAGGCAAAGGAATGGGAAAAGTTTCCTAGAAGGCCTCATGGATTAAGTCAAATTTCCATTTTCAAGATTTTTACATTCAAGGGGAAAATTCTGGTCACTGCATGATATCCACTTAATGGTCAATCTTTGAGGATGATTTTCTCCTACCTAGCAATTAAAGCCCACTATATAATATTTGGTGACTTTAACCTTTATGGTTCATTTACAATTACTGCTCCTCTAAAACCTTTGTGCTAAGAATTAACAAGAGTTCTTCAATCTAACCATGCTCTTTGGCATTGAGGTCTCCCAATTCCAAAGTTACCGTAGCACAGGCTGTTGCATAATTTCAGATGTCATGGAGAGTCCCACTGATGAAATCTGAGAAGGCTCATGTCAGACCACTGACTGCTAAAGACATCACTACATGAAAGATCAGTGATGTGAAACTTTAAAAACATCGATCCAAATGAATCAATTAAATCAACATTCATCCCTCCTAAGTGTGAGGTTTAAAACTATCATTGTTGCTTTTTTTTATAACCCTACATAGATTTTGAGATAAGCGCTGGAATGCTTTGATGGTTACTTCTATTCTTGAATCTCCGTTAATCGACTTTGTGCTATTTCCCTCTTTTCAACATCTTCCACTTGGTGTACATTCTTTACTTTTAGTACAGTGCATGACAGTTGCAATGCTTTAAATCTAAAACCGTCTAACAAAGCTGACACTTTAGGTAGGGTAGCTTTAAGCTCTGTGAAGTGTTGATTAAAAACCCTTTCCCAGACTCAAACTGATCTTTTTGGAGATTAATAGAATATTAGATAAAAGGAAGACGAACAATTCAAGAGACTCCCACTCGGTCACTCCATACAAGGAAGGAAGGAAGGAAAGTATTCAATTTTTGAAAGCGAGTACCTCCTGGAGTCTTTTATTTTATATTATTACAGCCCCTATTAAGTAATCATAAAATAACCACCACTACTTTCCCTCCCTTTTCTGGCCACCCATATTTCAAAGATGAGAATATCACACATTTATTTAAAGACTTTTTTTTTCTCTACAGTGGCATAGGCAAAGTTTTGGAGAAATTTTTAGGCTTTCTGTAAAGTAATATTTCTTAATGAATCAGGATTACAGACACCAAAATGAACCTGCCAATTTACAGTTACAGACAATGATTATGAGGAGACACAAATGTTTGGATTGAAACTCAGATAATCCAAGAAACATTAAAAAAAAGCCAAAAACAACCACTAACTTATTAGCACTGATAATATAGTTAACATATTTTGTCACCCACACTCTCTCAAAGGAGTTATAGGTTTTGAAGAAGGAAAAGCTGTAAAATAAATGTAAGTAAGATATTTTCAGATTAGACTGTGTAATACATCAGGGATTTATATTGGGATTTGGGAACAATTTAATCTTGCCACACTCCTTTTGGAAAACATAGTTGTTTACTGTATACTAAGGTGTATTTTATAAAATGATTAACAATGGGTTCAAATTTTCTTGTAGCTAAGGAGATATTTTAGATATTAAAAACAAATGTATTAAAAAATGGTAGCTTTGTGAAAGGTCCAAGCCAAATAGTGACTCAACCAGAGTTAGGATATTATCTTACAGCAACAATAATAGTAATACTAAACAGCTATAAGGTTTAAAATATTGATGAATGGTATCCCATCATGCAAGTTTCTGCTTTTATTAACATCTACACATGAATAAATGAACTTTTGAACAAGAATAACACTCCACTGCTTGTTGGGAAAATTGTTTTTATTTTAAAATGGTAAACAGAAATATATAATATATAGGAAACTCCTGTGCTTTACTTTTGGTATACACAATAATGTAATCCAGGTTAAAGCACAAGGTGGAAACTTGAGAAAAGAACAATTATTACAAGTAGACTCCCCCCGTCCCCTTCAAATATCATAAAAACTTTTAATGGCTGCCTGGTTAGGTACCTTTAGAAAGTTCCAAAGCATTGCAATATCTAGCTTTTTAAGTTTTAACAGGATGATTTTGAATCTCAGATTTATCAACAACTCTGCTCCCCATTCCACTTGCTGTAAGAACCGAGTATATAATTAACAAGAAAATCCAAATCCTAAATGTAAACCTCTACTCTCCAAAAAAACACAAAACAAACCCTGTCTAAAGAAACCAAATTGGGGAGATCAGAGCAAAAATATTAACACTTGTCGCCTCGAAGCAGAAGAGCTGCTACCAACTGATCATTGTTACTCCAGCAAAATTGTGGTGAAGATATTATTACATTTATACCAACAGACCTATAATCAACAGGTTAAGAAAGCCTACATTGCAAAGAATCTTCTCAGTTATCAGTTGGAGGTCTGGGATGGTTTGCCTAGCTCTCTTCCGGTGGCCACAGCTCAGATTCACAGGTAGAAATTACATTTACACAGCTTAAGATTGCAAATAGCTCTATAGATAGTTAAATAAGGCCTAACAACCCAGTAGTTTTAAACTATTAAAGGCAATTTAACAGTGATTTACTCTAGTTAAAAGTAACGGTTTTTTAAGAAGAGAGGTGAGAAAATCTAAGAAACAGGAGTGATTTGGTTTATAAGCTGAGCATATTTACTTTGCTCTAATTCAGCTGCAGAAGCATCACAAATTTAGCATCTCATAAGTGCTGATTTTAAAAAAAGGCAACAGAATTAGTTTCCCGTGAATATTTTCATGTTTTGGAAACACAGTTTATAACACTTTGAAAAATATATTCAATCTACATCAATTCTCAAATCCTCTCAATGGAAGTTACCTCTTTCATACAGTTCACCATTACTTCTAGAATAGAAAAGACTGCAGACCGAAGGGCTTGGCATTGTTGGGGTTACACATTTTAACTTATCCAGAAGCTAGATAATATGATGTTTTGATTTTTCCTATGTTGTTTCTAAAATAACTCTGAAAGTATATGCATATATGATCATTGAAAAATATCACTTTAATTTGCCATTCTTAAAACTACATGAACTAATAACTATATTTGTATACCAAAGATGTTATCAATTTTAAAACGTTGCTGAAATCAGTTCATAATATAAAAACATTTTACTCATGAGGTGGTTATTTTAAGTTATTTTTTTTCTGAGGAGGCAGACAATTCTAAGTCATTTTGGGTACATTTTATCATGTCCTCAAGTAAGGCGGTCATATTGTTGCATACACTTCACAAACAAATGAAGATTAAATTCAGATCCTCATCTATTAGAAACAGAATCCTCACTAGGTAATTAAATTCTTCAAGTAATTAAAATGATAATGTTAAGATTTAATATTTGATGTAAAAGTCAGCAAAATCTTAACTTATTTTACCTCTTATATTTCACAGTGTTGGCCAGATCTTAGCTGGATTAAAATAGTTAATAGTTGAAACTGTAGGGCACAACCCTACAGAGGAAGTGGACTGCTAAAAGTTGTATCACTGGATTGAGAGGAGAAAAATCTTTCACAGCAGGTCTTTCCCTTTCTGTTGGAGCAGAAAACTAAAAGAATCATTTTAGCCCACTTAGCCTTCCAGAAGGAAAGGCTCAAGAGTGCACAGGTACATTTTCCCTATGACGATAAAAATTCTGTCCCTAAAAGGGTCTAACTCCATGAAAGATCAGAATAGATCATTCTAGTCAGGATTAACAAACTTTACCCACATTAAGATTTAAAAAGCAAAACTTAAGTATGCTATCTAAATTACAATGCCACTCAATATACATTATATTTTAAAAAGTAAAGTCAATTCTAATGATAAAGTTGGAAATTCCATTGAAAAGGGGGCCTTCACACATGTACTTAAAGATTTGTTCCACGTTATGTTTTAGAGACTTGTGTAAAAAATGTCATATTCAACTGGAAAAGATTTTCAGCGGTAATGTGCATTCAGTACTTCATAGATTTTTTATGCAAAGTTTTTCTTCTGGTCTGGAAATGAAAATAGATCGTTAGGGAGAGAACCATTTGCGCTCCCCAAACTACAGTACATCATGGCATTCATGCTCTGAATTTAAATTTGGCTTTTCTGGGTGTGAGGGGGCAACTTCCTTAAAAAAAGAGGCCTAAGACGCCCTCAGTGAAAAACCTACTGAAAAGGGAAGTTTGAAGTCTAGAATAAAAGTTTGCTTCTGCTGGGAGAGGGGAAAAAAATAAACGTGATTAAGGGGGGCCTGCCGAGGCGGGGAGGGGGAGCGGCGGCTGCGCAGCAGCGGGTGGTAGGACCGCGCAGACGCCGCTCACCCCGCAGCCCCGCGCGGGCCGGGCTGGGGCAATTAGAGGCGCGGGCGCGCGGGGCAGGCGCTGTCAGCCTTCATCTGAGCGCTGACGGGCAGCGCGAAGCCGAGCTCGGCCCGCAGGAAGCAGACCGGTGAACCCATATTGCTTTGACAGTTGCACTCATCTAGAAATAATGCAAAACGCTATTTAGATGTATATATCACGACCCTGTGCTCTGGGAAGAAAACAATCTAATGAGGGGCTGGGCGTCTGCTCGCTGGCGACGAGCGGCGAGGGGCCGGCGGTGCAGGCTCGAGTGTGCGTCCCGGCGTCCCGCCCCGTCGCGCTCGCGCTGCTCTTACAGCTCTTCGTGCTTGATGCGGTGCGAGCGCCGCGCCAGCGCCGGCTTCAGGGAGCTGCTCTTGGCCTCAGAGGCTTCGGCAAAGAATTTGAAAATAGAAGGGAAGCTCTTCCAGGAAGTGAGCTCGTGACGGTCCGTGCCTGCAAAAAACACAGACTCGGTTACGAGGGGCCTCGTTCCGAGCCGAGGCGCAGGCTGCGGGTCCTCCGCCCGGAGCCCAGTCCGAACCCCCCGCCCCGCCCCGCCCCGCAGTTCCAGCCCCCGCGGCGCGCGGCCCCTCCAGACCACACCTTTACCTGCGGGTCCACGCGGCCCCGGGCTCCGAGCAGAGCTGACAGCTGCCGAATCCGCGTCTCCCCATCCTGAGACCTCCGCCGCCTCCGGCCTCAGCCCCGTTGTGCCCCCGGCGCGGGGACGCGGCCGGGACTTCCCCGCGGGTCGCCCGAGGCGCGGCCAGGCGCCCCGGGCCTCAGCCCCTCAGGGCCAATGGAGGCGCGCGGCGGGAAGGGCCACTCCCTCTCCCGCCTCGAAACCACCCACTTCCCCAGGCTCTGCGCGCGCGCGGGGATTGGTTTCCCCTGTGCGCGAAATGCGGCTTCTGCACCCACCCAGGGCACCCATGTTTCCCTGCTTTCCAGCAGGAAAACTCAAATCGGATTTTTCTTGCCTCTCCCGGAAGCGTGCTGTTAGGAGGTCACTAGACCAAATTGTATGGGATGCTTAATGAAGGACCAGATGCAAAAGACACTTTGCCTATAAGTGTCCTAGAAGGCTACATTATTATTATTTTTTACAGATTTTAGGGGGCAGTTTTTGAAAAGCTAAGAAAAATAATGTTTCAAGGCAGTGACTACTAAAAGAGCATCTAGACCTTTTTTTTCAGGAGAAATCCAACTTACAAAACACACGCTTGTCAACTTATGGGGTTATTTTATTTTACTACAGCTTCTCTCTGTGGCTTCAATTTAATAGTAATGTACAATATTCTTCAAGTCAAATCTACCTACAGTTTAACAGGCAAACAAAACAGATGTAGACATAACAGGTGAGGTCATTAATCTGTTTTTGACTCCTTGTGATAGCTCATATCATTTCACCAGTAGATTCACAACTGAACAATTTTTAAATTAAAAAAATAATAATAATAGTAAGACTCTCCCATAGAAATAATGAGTGAGTAGCTTTAAGACAGTTGAAATCTCTTCCTAGATCACTCAATTATGCAGAGAGATACTGCCTGGAAGTCTCCAGATTCAGGGCCTCTGTCTGATACTTTAACATTGTTAATGATAATTCTTTAGTCTGTAATAGTAGGTCATTGCTATGGTTACTCTACAATGGTGCAACACTTTGCTTTCCCCTTCAGCTATTTGCTGAGACCTGGTAACCACATTTGTTGCCTAGCAACAGTTTTGTGACAGTATCACAATCTCAGAGTTACAACAATAAGGATGCTATGGCTGCAGTTGACCAGAGAGCAGAAAGCTACAATCTGTGCATGTGACTTAGCTGTGGGAGCTGGCCCTAGGAAAGAACCCCTCTCTCTATAGGTCCCCTCACAAGGATGCTCTCTATCCTCTTCTCCTTTGCAGATCCACCTTATAAACCTGCATTTGAAACTAGGATCCAGTATTGAAGCCATATCCTTGAGAAATATCTCCCAACACTACTGTATTCAGACTTAAAAAAAAAATGAGGTTATTTCTCTATGTGCTTACTCATTTTGGGCAAAATTAAATGTTATTCAATGGGAGAGAGGGTTTATCCTGGCAAATCCTAAAGTGACTGACTGGATTTTGACAAGTCTTTTTTTTAAAAAATATATTTTATTGATTTTTTACAGAGAGGAAGGGAGAGGGATAGAGAGTTAGAAACATCGATGAGAGAGAGACATCAATTCAGATGCCTCCTGCACACTCCCTTCTGGGTATGTGCCCGCAACCAAGGTACATGCCATTGGCCGGAATCGAACCTGGGACCCTTGAGTCTGCAGGCCAAACCGGTCAGGGCGATTTTGACAAGTCTTAACATAATTCTTGGTATAAGAAATTACACATATGCCTGTCTGCATCAATAGGTGTGTAAAATTTCAAGTTCTTTAAAGTATATGTAACATCCAGATATTTATCATTATAATTTTGAATTTGGAGGCATTTATATTCTCTGAACCCAACTGAGCAGTTCTACACATGGTCAGACATTATCAACTTTAAATAATATTTTGTGGGTATATCTAGAAGGAGGCCCAGTTTCTGGAAAGGTTTATGAAATACCTGTCCCTATTTCTATAGTACTTGCAACTCTAGTTTCATTTCAACAATAACTGCTAATTGCACTTATAATGATGATAAAGTATTTTAAAATCAATTGTATTTCTTCTTTTTGAAAGTCTATTCTCAGTTGCATACTTCATGGCTAGCCCCAAACAGAGTAAGAAAAAAAAAAGGTGTTAATTGTCTCTTTTCCTTCTCATTTCCCATGCTTCCAGGCTCATTTGGCATTTCCTCCATAGTGATCACACTTACACTTACTAGTGTTACCAAGACTATGATCAATTTGTAAGCTATCTCACGGAGCTCTTCTCATAATTCCTTCCACCCCCTGAAAACCAATTCAATCTATGAATCTAGAGGGACCTGAGGAGTCAATGGTCTGAAGCAATTTTAACTCCTTTATTTATTTTTTTCTTTTCTAGTGACAATCTTTCTGAAGGATGAACAAATTTCCCTGGTGATAAAATCACTACAAAGGCTTTTTAGTTTTAGCTTATGATTACTCTCTGCTTGATTAGTCCTTGGCTGAAAAGACCAAAGTCCCTGAGATAACCAAGTATCTGCACTGGCTCTCAACATTGACTCTTGTAATTTAAGAGTATAAATAATGAGAATGTGTACTCTGTCAGAGGAAGGGAAATTGCTAAGAATAAAAGTAATAAGCAAGGTGGGTTAGAAACTGAATTACAGAGAATGGCATGGGGGAGGGAGAATTCTCCCTAAACGAAGGAATATTTTATAGAAATAATGGCTTACTTTTAAAAATTTTTGAAAGTAGATTTTTAATAATTTTAAAATAGCATTTCTACATTAGGTAAATGCATGTCCATCTGGAACTGCATATACACATTTCAAGAACATGTTTTAAGACCATTTAAAAAATTCAGGACCAAAGTTCAATGAAAATACTTACAAATTTATATGACTATCCACCCATGGCAATGCTTAGAGAATGGAAACTTTCAAGAGCAGCTTTCTAGTATTTATTTATTTATTTATTTTTTATTTTTTATTTTTTTTTAAAATATATTTTATTGATTTTTTACAGAGAGGAAGGGAGAGAGATAGAGAGTTAGAAACATCGATGAGAGAGAAACATCGACCAGCTGCCTCCTGCACATCTCCCACTGGGGATGTGCCCGCAACCCAGGTACATGCCCTTGACCGGAATCGAACCTGGGACCTTTCAGTCCGCAGGCCGACGCTCTATCCACTGAGCCAAACCGGTTTCGGCAGCTTTCTAGTATTTAAAGCATACACCACTTTAGAGGAAATTATCCCACTAGGGCAGGAACACTAGGCCCGTGGTCGGCAAACTGCGGCTCTTTGGCCCCTTGAGTGTGGCTCTTCCACAAAATACCACGTGCGGGTGCATGTACAGTGTGATTGAAACTTCGTGGCCCATGCGCAGAAGTCGGTTTTCGGCCTGGGCGAGTCTATTTTGAAGAAGTACTGTTGATATTTGGCTCTGTTGACTAATGAGTTTGCCGACCACTGCACTAGGCCATTAAATTATCTATTCATAAAAGGATAAAAAAGAAAAGTTTAGGCCAATAAAAAAAGCAGCCATTTATTAATAAGCTGCAATGATGTGTAAGTGACATGGAAACTAGTCCATTTCGCATTACCATGCTATTTAAAGGAGACGACATAGTCTTATAGTCAGAGCCTGGTGTTTCCTCTACCACAGCTTTACCCTGATCAAAAAGCTCCTCTTTTTAGGGATTGTGACTCTTTCCACTTTTCAAACCACCATTTTCTTTTCTTTCTTTCTTTTTTTTTAAAAATATATTTTATTGATTTTTTTACAGAGAGGAAGGGAGAGGGAGAGGGATAGCTAGTTAGAAACATCGATGAGAGAGAAACATGGATTCAGCTGCCTCTTGCACGCCCCCTACTGGGGATGTGCCCGCAACCCAGGTACATGCCCTTGACCGGAATTGAACCTGGGACCCTTGAGTCTGCAGGCCTACGCTCTATCCGCTGAGCCAAACCAGCTAGGGCATCTTTTCTTTTTTTAAAAATATATTTTTATTGATTCCAGAGAAGAAAGGAAAGGAATAGAGATACAGAAACATCAATGATGAGAGAGAATAATTGATCAGCTGCTTCCTGTACTCCTCACACTGGGGTTCGAGTGAGTCCGCAGCCCGGTCATGTGCCCTGACTGGGAATCAAACTGTGATCTCCTGGTTCATAGGTCAATGCTCAACCACTGAGCCATGCCAGTTGGGCCAAACATCATTTTCTTAATATAGAGAGGCCCCCACAATGTAGGGAATAAAGGGTTTTCTCATATTTAAATGTCTGCCATGTTCTCAGGGAATGATTTTTTAATCCTTTGGATTGAGAGGCTTGTTCGTATTGGATAAGTCACCTTTGGTCTCCCAATCCATAAAGTCAAGTCAGTATTAAAAGAAAATGTACAGGATCATAGTGCTTTATTATGAAAAAGTGCTTTGCTCAGTCTCAATCAGTGGGTCTCAATGGGCATAGTAGTGGCCTCTGGGGCATTTTGGAAATTTGCAGTGATGTTTTTGGTGGTCAAAACATTTACTGGAAGATTTTTAGCATTTACTGGGAGAAGGCCTGGAGTGGTGGACATCCTGCAGTTTGCAGGGCAGTACAGCACTATGAATTGTTCTGTACCCTACATGGATTTTAAATATTCCACCGGCTATATGTACATGTAGCTGAAAAACTTATTTATAATTAGATGGGCTTAGAATTTAGATCTGTTTAACAAACAGTCAAAGTATTTTTGGCATGATTTTAACATACACAGAATTTCCCAGGAATCCAACCATCATGTAAACTGAAGGGATTTTGTACTTTATGTTGTTCAGAATATTACCAAGAGTGGTTTA